ATGTAGAATGCATTTAATTGCTGTTTCTTAAGGTTTAAAAAGAGTTGATAGTACAATTAAAACCCAAATACGTTATTATCCACATTGAAATGGAAATAATAAATGTGGTCCTGTTTTATTTTTACAATTTCTTGATAACTATAAAGACGAATTATTTCAGTCTTCGAGAAAGTTCTTTCTAAATATGTAAAAAGTTATTTGCACCTATTTTCACTAAATTCTTAACATTTTTAATATGTTTTCGAGAGTTACATTACAGGTTAGGTAACATTTTTGCTGTGTCGCCCGTGTATAAGAGAGAGACAAGAGTATAACTTCAATAATAATTAATTACTCGACAACCATGCAGACGATTGTCTTCAACTTTGGCATGGACATTCCCATAAACGAATATTCTCCATAAATTTGAACTAATTCTTATCAAATTGATTTGACTATATAACCACCCTCCTTAAGAAACGTTTGAACAAAAATGTTTTTGAAACCATGATTTAAGAAATATATTTTTTACGTTTCTACAGCAAAAATACCTATTTGTTAAATTTTTTCTTTCAAAATTATAATTTGCTTCATCTATATATATAATAGCTTTAAGAGCCTTTTTTGAAACATTTAAGTTTATATTGCACTAATTATTGCACAAAATAAATAATTTTTTCCATGCACATATATCCATGCACTTATTTACTTAAATTAATTTTGTCCTACCGGTCTTAATCTATTTGTCATCGGACAAATCTGAGCTTAGAAAACTTCCAACAGTTGTAAAATAAATATTCTGAATGTGGCCATTGAAAGAACATTTATATATACGTGTGTTCCGTTTTAAAGAACTTCCTGAACTGGTGCACACCAGTAATGCAATTAAGTTAGAGTGAGACATCAGACAAATATATTTTGTTTCACTTTAACTTATTGCACAAATGTGCACCAGTTCAGGAATTTCTTCGAAAAAGAATACACGCGCGTCATAAATGGTATGCATAAAGCTTCTAGAATATTCTCACGCATGTCTCAAAGACGTCATAAACACGTTCAAAAGACGTGAAAAGTAGGAATTTTAAATGTCTTTATCTAAAATATCTTTATCATTAAAATAAAACGTTTCTATAATAACAATTAAAGTGATTTAAATCGACCTGACTGGCAATTAATATATATAACGTCTTTCCGATATATGAACATTGAAAATGTTGATCTGAAAAAAGTGCTGTGTGAATCCGACAAACCAAGTTGGCTCACAGTTTTTCAATGTTCATATCGGAAAGACGTTATATATATTGCCAGTCAGGTCGATTTCTTATTCTTCTTATGACGCCGTCTCCTTTCGAAGGTTGGCGATCCAAATGGCCAACATAGTTTTAGATACGGCCATGCGAAAGATGTCCACTGAAGTACAGCCAAACCATCTTCTGATGTCTTTCAGCCAGGAATTTTGGCGCCTGCCGATAGATCTCTTCCCTTGAATCTTGCCTTGGATAATCAGTCGCATGAGTTTGTATCTTTCTCCTCGCATCAGGTGTCCTATATATCTCGTCTTTCTCTCCCTGATTGTCAACATGAGTTCCTTCTGCTTATGCATACGGCTGAGGACTTCCTCATTGGTTATTTTATTTACCCATGATATGCGCAACATACGACGGTACAGATACATCTCGAAAGCATCTATTTTCTTTTCCGTATTTGGGTCAAGAGTCCAGCTTTTGCAACCGTATAACAGGGTGGAGAATATGTAGCATCTGATCATACGGACCCTGAGGTCCAAACTTAGATCCGATCTCGTGAAGAACGTCTTCATATTCGTAAATGTTCTTCTAGTCTGCTCGATTCTTGATCTGATCTCTTTCTTAGGGTCATATAGGCTGGTCATAATGGTTCCAAGATATTTGAAGGACGAGACTTGTTCTACAGTTGCCCCCTTAATAATCAGATATGCACGCACATGTGTCTTAGAGAAAACCATGGTTTTGGTTTTCGTAGTATTCGTGAAGAGGCCAAAGCTTTCACTGTGTCGAACTATGCGGTCCATCATGTTTTGCAAGTCTTGCATGTTCTCTGCTAACACAATGGTATCGTCAGGATATCTGATATTATTAATCGTCCTGCCATTAATTCTGATTCCTCCAGTAATTCCCTTTAGAGCTTCCTTGAAAATAGCCTCCGAGTATATATTGAATAGTAGTGGTGATAAGACACATCCCTGCCGCACTCCTTTCTTGATGAGAGTTGTTTCCGACGTTGCTGATTCCAGTCTAACTTCTGCGGTTTGTTGCCAGTAGAGGTTTGAAATTAAGCGTATTTCTTCTCTGTCGATTCCAGTCGCTCTGAGGATCTCTATCATCTTATATGATGTTTGACGCAGTCGAATGCTTTTCTATAGTCAATAAAGCATGCAAATACATTGATGTTCATGTCTCTGCATCTGCATCTGCAGGTCGATTTAAATCACTTTAATTGTTATTCTATATACTGGCGAAAGAAATCTATTATTCTGTTTCTATAATAGTTCTTTAAACGTTATTTTATTGGAAAAGAAACGTTCCAGCGAACGTTTTTCGAATGGACATTTTTACTCATGAGAAACGTTTCTAGAAATCGGTTATAAAACGTTTCAGAAAAACACTTATAAAACATTTATGAAATGTGTTTGTGCTCCCTGAGATATGTAATTAGACATTTAAAAAAAAAGATGTGAAATTTTTATTTTCTTCTTCACAAAATTATATTACCTAACTTAACTCAAGTGACATATGTATTACAAAAAAACATGTGAAATCTTTAAATTAAATTGCGTCAATTGTAAAGAGAATACGTATATTGCTTTGAAAGATAATTGTTGTGCAACTACTTTAAAGAAATAAAACCCAAGTGGTATCTTCGTATTCCTATTCAAGGGTCTTCCTATTCTAACCCAAGTGGTAATATAGCTTCTTAATTTTCTTTAACAAATTTTGAATATTACAAAGAATCATTTTAATTACAAAGAATTAAAGAAGTAACAGTACAAAATAAAAATATTTAATTAAAACAAAATAAATAAATTTTTCTTGTAAAAAAACTTGGCGCTGCTTTTTTACTCCTGTCGCATTCTTCCCTAAATTATATTTATTGTTTTTTTATTCAATCAAAAATCTTAGTACTAATGTTTAAATTTTAATGTTTAAATTTCAAAGTCTATCAGCGCCAAGGTTTTTTACAAGAAAAATTTATTTATTTTGTTTTAATTAAATATTTTTATTTTGTACTGTTACTTCTTTAATTCTTTGTAATATTAAAAATTTGTTAAAGAGAATTAAGAAGCTATTACCAACTTGGGTTAGAATAAGAAGACCCTTGAATAGGAATACGAAGATACCACTTGGGTTTTATTTCTTTAAAATAGTTGCATAACAATTATCTTTCAAAACAATATACATATTCTTTATTAAATTGGCGCAATTTAATTTAAAGATTTCACATCTTTTTTTGATATACATGCGTCATTTGAGCTAAGTTAGATAATATAATTTTGTGAAGAAAAAAATAAAGATTTCACATTTTTTTTTTTTAAATACATGTCACTTGAGTTAAGTTAGGTAATATAATTTTGTGAAAAAGATATAAATTAAGCTACCACACACTTATAGGTTAGATATATGTCACTTGAGTTAAGTTATGTAATATAATTTTGTGAAGAAGAAATTAAAGATTTCACATCTTTTTTTTTAAATACATGTCACTTGAGTTAAGTTAGATAATATAATTTTGTGAAAAAGATATAAAGCTACCACTTAGGTTAGATTTTTGAATTTACAAAATACATTGCATGTACTTGGCACTTTTTTTTACCTTTTTTGAAAAAGGTAATTTTGTACTGATTTATATATACATTACATTTTTATTCATTTAGCGTTGATGGATAGGTACATTTGGATGGAATATTATTGAATGTCTTTTTTTTCTTCATAATTTCGATCTTCTTATAGGGAAACAAGATTTATCATTGTACGGTTCGGGTTTTCAACTTTTCATGCAAACCAAGGTTCACCCTCACCCACCCCTGCCTGCGGGGGAGGGGCGGTAGCTACCGCCCCTTCTTCGTCTACATGTGTACTGTCTATACATATACCAGCAAATTACTTCCTTTAGCACTGACAACTGGCAAATTTTTCAAACTTTTTCGTTAGTAACTTTTTAACAAACAATGACCGAGGGCTAAAACTTTCTGAAGGTCACTCAGAAGGGTGACTTTGACAACATGTTAAGGTCAAGGTCATCGGAGGATTGTCCCCTATACTGCATAATTACCAACATGCTATGTCTGTTATAAAATTTTAATAATTTTGTCTAGAAATTAAATCAACACAGCTGGAACATTAGAGAGTGTCCAGAACATTTTAATCCAAAATTTAATTAAACACTTTAAGGGGATGCTGGAGCCGTAGCCGAACTCGATCGGCGTCGGTAAAGAAGACCGGCGACCTATATCTGTCCTTGTATAGACAAAGATATAGACAAGGATAGCACGCTACATTGCACGCACACATACGCACGATGCACACCGACATTATACTTTTATATTACGCTTCCAAATCTTGATTTGGGGGGTTTATCGATGTTTTTCTTGTTGTGCAATTCGGGGAAACTTGTTTTCGCGTTCGTACCAATGGTATATCTCTTATATGAAATACATCTTGTGATGAGCTGACAGCTCGCCGCAACTCGAGACGCCATATTGGGATAAGAGTAGGATAAGGAAATCTGTACTTCCGTAATTTTTTCTCGTTTTCTATATAAAATCGGAGTTTCCCCGAATCATTAATGTATGTACTGCAATTCTGGAGAAGGATTTTTAATTCTGTCAAATTAATACGACGCTACGTGCCGACAAAAAATGCCGGTAAAACAGACGGCTCCAGCATCCCCTTAAGGAATTTAAAAGTTTAACAGATTACTTTTTTCTATATATAAGATAATGTACGATAAAATCTACGAAAATAAATGCAAGGGTCTTCTGTCAGGTTACCAAGCTGTTTGGCGTAAATTATGATACACCAACCTCCGGTGAACCCATCCACGCATCTATGAGCCAGCTAAGCCAGCCAGGCTCTTACATGCTGGCGCCCAGTTACAGCGAGGCATTACTGATGGAACCAGCAACGTCTCGCAACGAAGAGCCGGAACAAAATCAAACGGATGTCGCAACCGACATGGTGCCCAGCTACTCCGAGGCGCTTCTCTACGAGCGTGCCGAACAGTACGATCGTCGCAATAATGCGATTGTGAATAATGCTGGATGCGCGAGCAATGTGGAGGCGTCTTGCAACGTAGACGATCCCAGGCGAATGCTATCCCCGATGCCATGCGAGTGCCACTGCCCTTGTCCTTGTCACGAGAATGTGAACGACTACGACCTCAGGACGATGAACGAGCGCAGCTACATCGAGAGCGCGACCAACAGAGAACACTTACCAATGAGCACCGAGGTTAGTGATACATTCGAGAGTGAATTAGCGACGCTACGGACAACGGCTGATGGGCGATTGCATCCTCCCGCAAACTTGGCTCCCTATTCCATGGACGATCTCCAAGTCGAAGCGTCTCCAAGCAGATGCAGCAGCTGTGGCAGAATTTCCGCCAGCACGCAAACGATTAACACTGACATTCCACATCCTCCCCATGTTGTCACTAGGAACAAATCTAACGAAGGTTCTCAGACTTCGTCGACGGATTTCATTTCCGGCATGACGTCTGAAAGAGAGTACGAGGCTATACCCCGTGACATTTCCGAACCTAATTTAAGATCACGATCGGAACTAGCGGAACTCCCGAAGGACAAGGTCAGAAGCCTGGAGAACATATTAGAGAACGAAGAGGAACTATTAGGAATTGGCAAAGTTGGCTTTGCCAACGTACAAACGAATCTTCCGTACGAAAGGCCGCATCCTCCCGAACGCTACAGGAGATTCCCGGCCTCCCTTCCGCCCTCTCTGACTCATCATCGTTCCCTCTCCCTCGACGAGACAAGCGTTTCCCCAAGAAACATGGGTGCCATTCCGAAAACCGAACCGCGTAGCAGGATTATGGTGAATCCTATGTCAAACGAGGCCTGCTGGAAGCTACCCAACTCGAAGACGTATTTTTGCTTGAAGTCGATCTTGAAGCACAACAGGCGCAGCTATACGTTAGTGACCGCGGACGAATTTCAAAATCTCGCCGAACAGGATGCTAACCGTGGTCTTAGATACCTCGACAGTTTTGACAGAGGCGAAAAGAGCGATCGCGATATTCAAGTCGATAAATTGGCCGATCATTCGCGCTCGAGGGAAAGATTGAATCCTAGGAGGAGGATGCCGTCTTTCGAAGAATTTATGTCGGCAAGAGACAAAATGTATATCAATGATCAGAAACAGGAAAGCACTAGGTAAGTCTCATCATCACCCTGCTTTTGTTGTATTGTATTAATTTTGAATGATCAGCAATCTTTCTCTATGCATATTTTTTGCGATAATTCCAAGCAAGCTTTATCGATTATTATTGCTGATATTATTTACTGCTTATTAATAATTATGCTGTGCTTTGTTTCTGCTTACTCACCACGTATAATGGCGAATTATGGCTGTATTCCGGTATATTATGGCTGTATTGTTATTAATTGGTAATCATTTCATAATCATTGTTAACTTTCAACTTGGCGATGTATACGCGATTATGACGGATATTACGCGATTAAAATATGTCTCCAAATTCTCAAAAGTTTTCCAAAAACTATTTAAGTTAAATTTGTACTCTTCCTGGTTTATTTTTTTAATTATTTTTATTTTAGAAAATCAAAATACTGTTTAAAGTAAGAGAAATATAGAAGTCTTTTTATATCTTAAAGATTTTTTATATATCTTGTGTTTTTCCTTGTATCTTTTATTACAGTATAATTTTTAATTCTGCCATTAATGTCCGCCAAATTGAGAATTAACGTTTACAATGTATGACTCGGAGTTAAGGCAATTACCGCTTATAGATCAGAAAGAGGAATGTCGCATAATGTCCGAATGCAATATTCACTTAAACATAAGTTACGAAATAATTATAAATTGCTATAACTCCAGAATACGGTATACTCAAGCGAGTGGAACAATCGATATTGTCTTTGTAGAACGCTCATTTTCGCCAGTCCGATACAAGAAGTCTTCCCTGGTGATCCCTTCGGCGGCAAGGATATCGTGCCAGTGAGAAATTTGAGGGAACGTAGTGCCAGAGAGGGCGATCCCGTGAACAATCCAGTCATGCTCACTCGGCCAAGTCGATCTCTAACCGTTCGAGACGCAAGATGCTTTTCTACCGATTATACCAGGAATCCATTCCGACCCGACAGCACCACGTATCCGTTACCACATGTCACGCATCCGCACTGGCGTGAAAGAGAACTCCAGTATCTTTTACACAACAGACACCCACTCGAGCCAATGGGCACTTCTACTAGAGCGCGGGAAGAGACACCGCGAGCGTATCGAAACGTCGACATCTCGTTTGCTTCCTATGACGGGATGCTCTCCGAACGCGCGAATAGATGGTCGACGAGCTCGAACGAATATGACGATAGATCTCGCGAGGGTCATACGGCTAACCCTAAGTACTTATCGAATAGAAGACGCCAGACAGCCGGTTTGACCAGATCGCTCACCGAGAGGCGTCCGAAGGTCGCTCGTCTCGACAGGAACTTCCGGAGAAGCTTCACAGGCAGAGTGGAAGATTATAGAATGGATTATAGAATGGAGAATGCCAGACGGACAAATTTCAGCATCGAAACGTCGTTGTAACGAGCGTTGATTTTCGGGTGCTAATTGCATCGGTCTCGGTTAGACATGACCGCGGTTAATTCCTCTGCTGTGTAGAATGTTTCTCTAAATTGCCATGAAAAACTCACAATATCGGATGTTTTATTGCGATAATTAAATATCGAGTAAAAGAATATCTTTACATCCTATCATAACTCCAAAGTTTATCAGAAACGGTACAATATACATATAACAATATAACATCGGAAAGTATTGATATCTGGATAATTCTATAAAACAAAACGATCTCGGCTTTGCATCATAGTTTATAATATGTTTTCAAAAATATCTTGATAAATGGGAATATGATCTAAAAAGGAACAGCAGATTAACTTGGAAGTTAATTAATCCAGATCGTTGCATTGGTGCAATTCACTCCTAAATAAGATTACTAGTTTTTCTCCCCTGTCTACAATATTATAAATGGGACTATAATCTAATTAGGACAGGGAGTCACTGAGGATTTTGCTGACCTGAACTGTCGACGGCATGATTCATTGTCAGCCTTAAATTGTTACTTCTTTGTTCCACACTACTTGTATCGTAAGTATCCGTCCTACTACTTTACGAATTAACCATATTCGCGAACGGGTCATGCCATTTTCCAAAAGACATTCCAATGCGGGCTATTGCCCTTAGCGCCTTCACTTAAAGGCACTCTCGAAAGAGGACCATAATGTTACGCGCATTTTTGAAATTTGACAATCGGCTATCGGAAAAGCTCGGAAAATTATCCCGTATGTACATGTGCATTCAGCGTTAAATACCAACTATCATCGTTTCAGAATTTTAAGCTCACTTTAATTTATCTATGATTCGTATCAGAATTCAGGATAGAATTTTATCCATAATTTTGCTATTTTATGTGTGTAATACAAAAACTATTTAAAGAATTAGAATACATACACATATTAATATACATTAATAAATTATATACATATATGTATATTATATGTATATGCATATTATACAGGGTGTCCCATGACTCGAGGTCCATGCATTAAGGGTGTGTTATTGAAGTCATTTAGAGTTGAAATTGTTTAATAAACATATGTCCATAAATGTTCCTGATAGAACCACAACTATTGAAAGTTAATATGAATATTTGAAACATTTTCAAATAAATATCCTTGGACTACTTTCTTTGGGGGCATATAAAGTCAGTAGTTCATGCAGAACAATCTCGCAATAGAGATGAACTTGTGAACAGAATTATGGATGGCCAGCAACGCAAATAAGAAATTCTCCTGGCATGGTGGAGCGAGCTGTTAGATCACTTTTACTGAAGACAATACTTTGCATTGAATCTGCAGGAGATAATTTTGAACAGAATTTGTAAATAAACAAGTTAAATTAAATGTCTTTTTTAAATATTCACATCAACTTTCAATGGTTGTAGTTCTGTTAGGAAGCATTTACGGACATTAAACAATTTCAACTCTAAATGACTTCAATAACATTACCTTAACGTATAGACCTCGAGTCATGGGACTCGATATGCATGTATATAAGGACCAGTCAAATGAAAGTGAGTCAAGAAAACTCTTACCTTTATTTAAAAAAAGTTTTTGAAAATAATCTTTGAAAATAGTTCCACAGCTCTTCAGAGCTTGATAAAATTAGACTGGGCGCATAGTATCAACTTGCATCGACTAAACTGTTTAATCGATGTCGAGCAGCAACAACGATTTCTTATCAACTAAACAATTTAATCGAGGACTATATTATTACAGAATGAGTGTATCCAGTTTTAACGAGCTTCTCGTGTTAATTCCCAGGTAGCAGGATGACGTCTAAAGACGTCTTAATGATGTTTTATTTTATTGATGTTAGAGATGTCATTAAGACGTTATTAATACGTCATTTGACGTTACTCGCTGCTACCTGGGTTAACCTATGTATTTTAGAAAGTATAATATTTTTGTCGATAATATATTCATACTCTGGCGTAGTAACACGATCGATGATAGTCGATCGACACTTTCATCAAAAAGTTAACAAACTGTCTTTTGACTTTTTAGTCGAGTCGATATCAAGTTGATGAGTAAGCGCGTTCTCATAATAACTCTAAGCTTTTTAATGATCTACTAAACTATAAATCGACGCAAAGAGTCGATAGTATGCGCCTAGTCTTATTCAGGAGCCATGGCTCCTGAATTAATGCTAATATTGCCTACATCACAGCCATGCATCCGGCTAGAATTGCCAAAGTTCTACTTACTACATCTTAATCAGCGCTCTTGCTGTGATACAAGTCGTTTTAAGCCCGTATCAGACTACGGATTGGGATTGAGATTGGATAGAAATTTAATCAATCAGAATAGAGAAAACTTACCTCAAGTTTAGTGAACTTTGCGTTGATTGGTTTGACTTTACAGCACCGGGATGGTAAGACCTGTCCTCTTTCAAACAGTTTCTATTTGTAACACCAGACGTTACATATATATCCTCTCCGCGTTCTTTATCGAACAACTTTACAGTTACTCAACCTAAGCAGCAGAAGGGCTTGAAACAGTTTTTCGCAGGGCTTCCAGAAGCCGCTGATCAAGGCAGCGACATGGACACACTTGACATCCCTGCTTTCACTCTCTCTTACGACGATTTGGCTACCAGACCTGTGTTTTGTCTGTTGAAGACAGATAATAGTCTCCTCAATCGACAAATCAGGTTCTTCCACATGTACCAATGGTGTTTGGGTATTAGCTCGTCGGCTGGCAATGCATCGAAAGGAATATCCCTGATTTTGATCTCGGTGAATAGGCTTTTTAGCTAATACGCTGATTGTTCATTGGCGCATTTATATAAAGATGATTACGCTATTTCTTTCTCAGGAATTTTTCATAAAGGTGAGAACTAGCGCACTCTCGAAGTTCAAGGATCTGCTGATCAGCTTTCTGATCACACCCACTTCACCGACATCCTTGATCAGTGACCTTGGGTTTCTGCCTGGGTGACTGTCCGACAGATTGGAAATATTGTGACATAAAATAAAAAGACACGCTTTTACGTGTCAGATGTTGACCATATCTTTCTCTCTTTATCTTTTGTATCCGAAGAGTAGGACTTTGGGCTTTTTCAGCCTGTCCTTCTCTCTGCAACTGCTTTTTATAACGCTGCTATAGCGAACTCGAGTTTTAGTTAGACCCGATTCCGCAACTGGACTCCTCCAGTCGTTCGCTCCCTAGGAATACCATATCTTGGAGGACTTTGTTTGAATTATTTGAATTGTTAAGGCCTCCGCACAATGAAAAATATAAGGAACAGCTAGATATTAGCGATTAGGACTAAAGAATCAAGAATAAAGTTGGATGCACGATGAAAAATACAGGCAACAGAAACAATGAATAACACAGGCAATAGATTTTATCGAAAGCTGTGTATTAATGCTACACCAGCTTTATTCCTGATTTCTTATTTTTAATCGCTAATATCTGTTCTTTGTTCCTTATATTTTTCATTGTGCGGGGGCCTTTATTGTTATTTCTGGAACAAAATGGAACTAAATTCTATTTTTTGTCCCACAAATACCGCGATCGCACGATTTCATCCGGATAGAGTCGCGAATGCCCGGAATTTGATTCGTATTCCCGAAGGGCACACGGTATCCGGGAGGCACTGTTTGCGACATAACTCCCCTTGCGCCACACAGCAATAATCGGTTTAGTATATCACTATAGCTTATACCTTATGTGGAAAATTTCTCTTCGTAGATTGTACTCAGTTACACCTCCGAGTGCGACTTTATGCCTTTCCACCATTCCAAGATGAGATAAATCCATTCGGAGGGGGGAACAGCACTTTTATTACTTTTATAAAGTGATAAAAAGGATTTTATCATAATATCTTATGCAAATTATAGAATGTTTAAAACTTACTTTAAACGATATATAATTCGCGTCAGATCTCTATTCTGAATAAATTAAATAGGGTAACTCCGATATTTACGCCGCGCGGGGATTTATGTCACAGAAGTTAAAAAAATAGAAGCAAAAAAAATGAAGGTATTTGCTCGCGATCATTCTGTTATTATGTGCCTTTATGCCATGTTAGTGTTGTGTTGTCATTTCAGTTCTTTACTACATATTAATATTAACGAAATCTTCATGAGTTGAATTGATTTCTCAATGTAGTAAATAGCGCGATCATATTATGACCAACGTAATATGATTACTGTAGGGAATGTGAAAGGTTTAATGGTTATTTCATGATACATAAGTGTAGAGGGATATAGTAATAAGTGGAATATACCAAAAATACAAGTGCATAGCTCCTGTATTCTTTATTTAGCTTGATATTTTGTATATCCCATCTGTTCGCAATATACGGCATTTTTAGCGTGCGGGATTTATGCTATAGTAGACACTCTGCAAAAATTGAAATCTCCTATGTGTTCTTTTTCCTTCTTTTTTTGAATCGTATAACAATAACCTTTAATGCATCTATCGTTCGACTATTTTCTTAATTCTTAAAATTTTATAGTTTTATAATTTGTTTATTATTCTTATACCTTAATAAACTTTTTACACACATTTTATAATTTATTATATTTTATTGCCTTATTTATAAACATTATTTGTAATTTTTTATAAAGTGTATATTCCATCTATGAATAATCATATATCCCATTCTTATGGGATATATGACAAAAATACAAGTGTTTCTAAAAGTTTTTTTTTTTTTAAATACAAAGAATAAATATTTCATATTTCTAATTTTTTTATAATGATAGACAATATAAAGTTTTTATTGGTATAATTCATTTGCCTTAAATATAGTAAATAGTACTTGATAAATTAAGATTTTCTTAGGTGCGGCGTATATACCGGAGTTACCCTATGCAGAGAGATAGGGAGCTCCTCCCGATTTCAATAAATTTGAAATTTACCGCTCTGCAGAAAAAACGTCGTATTTGTTGGCACAAAAAAGATATACATAGATATACTTAAAAATAAATATTATAAAAAAAGTCAATAATTTAGTTGATTACATAGCACAGTGATATATATTTTTGAAATAATGACTGTCTATAAACTTTCATAATAATTGAAGCACTTGTGAAAACTATTAAATATTTTTATCTAATATTGATGACTATAACTGTGTCTAACAACTTTCAAGAGATTTTAATTTCTTTCATAGAAATGGTCAATCATGCTGAGATCTTCTGATATTACTGAGTCATACAACTCTTTAGCTAAATTTTTGGCATTTTATTATGTTTATTTGTACAAGTTTATATATATATATTCTTTTATACTATCTGCTAATAAACATGACTGACTTTTTCTACGGAGTATAGTTTCTAATTCATTTTATTTTGTTTCCTTATGATAAAATTACAGTTACTTAGTTTCAACAACTTCCCGATTATCTGTCACTCTATATGTGTATATTCCAATTTCTCAATTGCTTCTTGCATTATATGGTATATATAAAATTACAAATAAAATGCTATTCTGAATCTTGGTACAAACAATTGTTTTAAGTGATATAAATCGTTTAAAGTGAGCCTTAAAAGGTATTTATAAGAAATTCTAGACACTAATATTATGGTAAAGTTATTGCGATTTATGACTTGACAAAAAGAATCTAGAAAAAAAAATGATTATTTCTTTTAGCTCTTTTTATACTTGATACAATTAGATCTCAAAAATGCTCGATTTGTAGAAATTTCAAGTTAAAGGACCCCGGGCCCAGCCATAGGGAAAATGGATCCCAGTCAAATTGGTTGAAACTGCAGTATGTTGTACTTCATAATCTCCTGATCAAAAGTGTTAATGGGCACGAAGTCCGGAACCATCTACTTTTCGAGTTATCAGACGTTGAACATGGTAAAAATGAGGATATTGGGGACATTCTATTTTAGAGTATTCACGGCAATAATTCTTTAGGGTCGCATTTTTATGTGTGTACGTGGGTATGTGTGTGTGCGTGTAAGTGCGTGGGTGCGTGTGTGTGTGTGTGTGTGTGTGTGCCCGCGCGCGCGCGCGCGCGCGCGCGTGTGCATGGGTATGCGTGTGTGGGTATGTCTGTATGAGCGTGTGCGTGTGCGTGCGTGTGTGTGC